TCGAAACTTCCCTTTTCAATGCGGTCGCCTTTTTCTCAAATTCGTASTAATCGCTTGGTTGTTGTTGTATGAAGCGACACCTCCGGCTGGTTTGTTCGAACAGTTTTGGTGGATATTTTGGTCATGAAATGCATGTTTGCACAACTCGTCAAGATTTTTTTCAAAATGAGTACCGTAAATAGGTCCCTTTGGGCATGCTTGATAGTATAAATTCCGATTCCACATTCATTGAGAGCCCTATAACTGCCGATGGGACATGGGTTTATGAGTATGACATGCAAGCAAGTCAACAATCATCGGAATGATGGGGAAAATGAGCAGAAACCAACTAAATCACGTCAGAGCCGCTCAAGATGCGTGGTTTGGTGAATCATGAATTTGTTCCGAACAGACAGGCGGTCAAYAAGGAGTTCTATTTGGCCCTACCGAGGCGTTTGCATGAGAACATCCTTCCAAAACGGTTGGGGTTATGAAAAAAATTCATAAMTTTTTTACAATGCTAATGCACCATCGCATTGAGCCACGATTGTGAGCCAATTTACAGCCAAAATAGCATTGAATAACATCGATCAACCATTGTATTGATCAGATTTGGCTTCGAGTAATGTTTACTTGTTCGCCAAAAGAGAAATTTCCGCWCCGTGGAATGCGTTTTCAGTCAAACGAAGAGATAAAACAAAATTCGYTCAAGGAGCTTAAGSCCATCCCAAMAAATGTTTATGAAAATTGTGGAAGTGGGAAAAAGCCGTTGGCATAAGTGTAKTACGTCTGGTGGAGCRGCACTATAGATATTGATGCATAATTCAATATTTTGCAGTTTATTTACATTTTCCGGATACTCTTTTGTATATTGGCCAAACATGCCCGATATTCCGGTCTCTAGCYTAGAATATCCGCTTAATATKTAYATTTTATTAAGTCAACGTTTGCAKGATTTTCTTTAAGTGTTGTTTTTAKACTCGCTGTTTGAGKTTATGTCTAACTAGTATTTGTGCCCTTTTATGCAAAACATGTTTAAAGTGTATCATTCAATTCGCCATAATGTAAAAATCCTGGTCTGCATACAAGAATGTTGTTAATTATTAATTAAATAAGTTATGAATTAATTTTCTGATAATACAAGTCATTGATTACCATCAGGATTACTACTGCCGCATCCCCTTTTAAAAACAGCTCTTAATACGAATGTTTGCTCTCACTGAGCAGAAGTATCTTTCGGCTGCATTCCAGCTGTCTCCCTTTCTTGCTAATTAATTCTACCAGCTCAGCCAGTTAAATTGCATTTTTTTTTATTTTAATATTAATCCAAACAATACTTGATACCTTAAACCGAGATGTAAATAGTTTTAGCGATAACGAATGTAAATAACTATAAGGCTAAGATAAATAAATTAACATTAATATACAATAAAGCATTTCTAGCAATGAGCAGGTGTACAATTAATTAAATGGTGCATTTCAAGAAGCAAAAAATGTAAAAAAAAAGTTTGCTGAATATATTAGCGAGGGAAAACCTAATAAATAAAATAATTGATAAAAGCAAAAATAACGGAAGATTAATTAAACAAATTGCGGATAATGAGTCATGTGTATGCAAATGTAATTTAAGCGATAAATCAGATATGCAATGTAGATAAAAGCACAAACAATAAAAACAATAGCAAAATGTGACAAGCTTATAAATAAATACAAGCAGAAAAACAAATATTAAAAATAACAAAATTAGCTGTTTAACTGCAAAAAAACGGCACCRTGCATATGGCAGCCTGCATACCATGTATATTGAAGCCTGCTTCAATGGTGTGCTGTGGTTATTGGAACTTAATTATGTACTTACACATGTATGATTATGGATACATACATAAATGAGAGTGTATGCAAACATGTGAGTTGTGTTTTATGCA